AAAGAAGCCTGAGTGAGTTCTGTAGACTGGCACCGTCCCTGCTCAGTGTCCCTTTCCCTGTTTCTGCCATCTCCTCGTTTTGACTGCATCTCTATTTGTTTGGGACATTGACATTTCTGTACCCATTCTTTAAAAACAACAACAAAAACAAAACTGTTTGAAGCATAATGCCTATGAAAATGGGATTTTTTCTTACTTATGTAGGTATTACATCATTACGATAATAACTGTCCATTCATAGACTGCTTAATATAAGTTCAAGTGGCTATTCCACATTTTGAGAAAAGTTGCCAGAGTGACAAGGTATGGGAATGAATATTAGGGGGACTTAGAGGGAACTGGGTACCCTGAAGTTTATGTTTCAGGTTCAGTTGGGCTGTTGGGTGGAGAACAGGTAGGAAATGGGTTGAAAGGCAAGGAGGCCAGCTCCAGACTTTAGCAGTTGAAACAGAATGAATCCGAACTAGAAGGAGCCATACATCGTAAGAGGCACAGAGAGGTAGGATTTGATAGGATTTCAAAGCCAGGGTTCAGGGACTGAAAGAAAAGGAGTAACTGGGTTGCAGGTGGCTATCTGAGTGTGGTTGCCTGGGAGATGGAGCTATCACAGGGCTGGGGTGTGAGGCTAAGGTCAAGTCCACAGAGCATAGTGGAGAAGTGAGCATTCCCAGGGTCAGAGGGTTTTGGTAATGGTGCTGGGAGGTTCATGGCCCCCTTAGTAATAGTAAAGCCACACTTTAAATTAAATTAAAGCATTTTTAGTTCAGCTCCTCTCAGTGGACCCCACACGTGTGTTCTCTACTTGTTATTACTGAGAATGACTAAGTAATATAATTGAGCTGAAAATAATCTTCCGCCCATACTTGCTGGGTTGGTTACTAAGTATTGCTTGGGTTTAAAGCAGCAAAGCAAAGTTGTGCTCTTTCCAAATGTTAAGTTTGAGGACTGCAGATGGCAACCATCTGTTCTGGACTAGCATTTTACAATATTTGATTAGCACTTTATATAGTCTGGGGAAGCCAGCCAGCAGAGCTGCCTGTCGTGCTGGGACTGTAGTGTGTCCTCTGTGGTTGCCCTTCAGGGTCCTGCCCATGACTGTGTGTGTGTGTGTGTGTGTGTGTGTGTGTGTGTGTGTGTGTGTGTGTGTGTGTGTGCCAACCCCCACCCCCATTGGCCAGGCCAAAGCAGGGCTAGTCAGAATGGTGACATCAGCGACTTGAAGAGCCCTGCCCTGCTTAGACTTCCTACAACTGGAACCTCTGAAGTGGGTCATAGATTTTTTTTTTTTGAAACCTGTAGCCCAGACTGTCTTTAAACTCGCTAAGCGGCCTAGGATGAACTGGACCTTGTGATTTTCCTGCCTCTACCTCCCTAGTGCTGGGTTTGCAGGCCTGTACCATCATCATGCCTTCTGTTTGCAGTGTTGAAGCTTGAGTCCAGGACTTCCTGCATGCTAAGAAGGTGCTCTACCAACTGAGCCACACCCCCAACCCCTGGAAGTAGCAGTGAGGGGTCAAGGTCTATTGGAATCCTTTGGGTTGAAGGTGACAGAACCACCATTCCAAGCTGGTTTGGTAATTGGAGTGAATGGTCAGACTATTGAGCGTTCTGGGGTCTGGGTTCCTGTAGGTGAGAAGCACTTTAGGGCTTAAATAAAATCTTTGGGCTTTGTTGTGGCAAGTTCCAGCTCTGCGATCTGCTTGGAGCCAGGAGGAGGCAAGATGGCATCCCTGGAAGACTTTCTGAGTCTAGTTGGGTAGGCAGTCTTTTCCAGTCCCAGCTGCTCATCTGTGAGCCAATCCCTGCATGTAATCCTGGGCATTGGTTGGTCAGGCAGGTTGGGCCTGAGTGCACTCTAAGCTGGCATTTACTAAGAGGGATAACGGGTGGTGGGGGCGGACTCCAGTGTCAGAGCACGAGCCAGAAGAACCATGAGGAAATGAGCATGTGTTGCTCCGGGAAGATGTGCTTGAACTAGAGTGCACGTGACCCTGAACCCCGTCTGTCTCAGTTCCCTTTTAGTGAAGAGCTAGAGTCTGGTTCTCTTGGGGGGGGTGTTCTCCCATGCCCTTGATTCTTTAAAACTAGCACCAGTCACTCAGTCTCTCTGCCTTTGACTCTTCATCTGGCACACAGGGGGCACCCCTCACCCCACCTCCACTCAGGCCCGTACTGAGGAGATCATGGGTCGGATTGGTTCAGCTGCTGAGGCTTGGGTGCAGCTCAGCTGTGAGAACCGCCTGCCCTCAGCAGAGTGATTTACTCCCACCCGGGGAGGGACAGTCAGAAAGGACTTCCCAGAGGGAAAGGGTTCCCCAGAGGGTCTGGGAATGGAGCACTGCCATGCAGACCTGTAGAGAACTGAGGTCCTTGATAGTTTGGAGATTCTGGGAAGAATTCCTGGGACTGACATGGATACATCCAGAACAGTGGTCAGAGCTCACTTGGTATCAAGTGTGGGAGAGTATGCAGTGACAGTAGGGTGTCAGGTAGGGTACACACACACACACACACACACACACACACACACACACACACACAGAGTAAATGAATAATACACACAATCACATATATATAAAAAGAAGTTCACGTTGAGTTGTGGGGTCTTCTGGGAGAGCACATGTGATAGAGTGGTTAAGAGTGCATACCACTCTTCCAGAGGACCTGAGTTCAGTTTCCAGAATCCTCATCGGGCGACTCACTACTGCCTGTAACTCCAGCTCCACGGAATCTGATGCCTCTGTCCTCTGGGCACCACACTCATACTGTGCATACCCTCCCCTAGACACACCCACGTTATAATTAAAAAAGAATACCTCTGTAAAAATCACACAATGTAAACATGTTTTGAAATAACCTGTGGTACTCCATAAATATGTATAATTCTTAAGATTTATGTAATAGCTGAAAGACAGATTCAATTTTTATTTTGAATATATGGAGTCCATAGACAGAAAAGAAAGCATGGCAGACCGTTCTACTTATGCAAGCCCTGAGAACATGGGAAGAACCTGAGATGGGGAAGCCAGTCAGCAGTGGCTGGAGGATGGGACGTGTGATAGAGGGTGCAGGGAGGCCATCTTGGGGTGGGTATGCTCACTCTCCATTCTGGCGGTGGTTTCTGCAGGGGTGGACATCATTACCAAATGGCTCACTGTAAATCATTGTAAATGCATGCATTAATTGTAAGTTAATAGCATCTTTCTCCTAATAGCCAAAAGATTTAAAATTGTTTTTCATTTTATTTTATGGGCATGAGTGTTTGCCTTCTTGCATATATTTACCATGTACATGCTTGGTATCTGGAGGGGAGAAGAGGCATCAGACCCCAGATGTACCTGAAGTTACAGTTGTGAGCTACCATGTGGGTGCTGGTGGCCACAGACCTCTGCAAGAGCAGCCAGTGCTCTTAACTGCTGAACCACCCAGTTTCCAAAACAACAACAACAACAACAACAAATTTTTAGGTGGTGTCTCACTGTGTAATCTTGGCTGGCCTGGAATTCACAGAAAGCTGCCTGCCTCTGCCTTCCAAGTTCTGGGATTAAAGACTTGTGCTACCACACCCAGCCCCACTTTTAAAAAAAACATTAAAATTACATCGTGTGTGTGTGTGTGTGTGTGTGTGTGTACATGTGTGTACACGTGTGTGCCATGACACTTTTATGGGAGAAAGGACAGCCTGAGGGAGTTGGTCCACTCCTTCCAGCATGTGGGTCCTGGGGACCAAGCTCAGGTCTTCCACCCTCAGTCACAAGCACCCTGACTCACTCAGTCATCTTTCAGGCCTCCCCTTTTTTTTTTACTGGACCTTGGAGCCAGACTGCCAAGGTTCAAATCTCAGATTGACCTTTTATCAGCTGTGTGAGCTTGGGCACATTACCTGACCTCTCTGTGCTAAGTTTTACTTATGTTTGCATTAGTTTATGTGTCAAATGCACATTGTGCTCATTGTTATTAATGACTCAGTAAAATGAAGTCACATGATTCGTTCTGACTTCCCTTTGGTCGCTCTGTGTATAGCTGCTTCTTCATGGGAGCCACAATGTGCATTCCGATCTGCTGAGCGTGTCATTAGCATGCACCTATCTGGCTTGGGATCAAGACTGCATGTCTGATGGGCTCCTAGTCTTGCCAGTGCTCTGGCTTTGTGACACTTTGATTAGCAGCTTTGGGCCTTTGGGCTTTCTGCCCTCCTGCCCGATGCTCCAGCTAGGATGTATGTGGCTGTCAGCAGCTTGATTGCTGCCTGGGGTTTTCTGCTCATTTCCTCTCTACACCGCCTACCTGAAGCTGAGCTTTAGAAGACTCTAGGCTGAGGTGACATGTCGCACCTGCTGTGTGGCCTGCATCCGAGAATGTAGCGAGGTGGTCGGGATAGATGACACAGAGACCGGTCGGTTGCTTTAAGAAAACTTTATGCTTCCCAAGTCAGCTTAGGAGGAGACCCCAGTCCGCTTAGGAGAGAGCTCTCAGGAGAAATCTCAGGAGAAGTCTCTCTCTGAAAAAGGAGCTTCCCTTTTTAAGGACTTCTGCCATTCATCTACATACCATTCTTTCCTCCTGGCTGGTGGTCTAATCTCCGGCCCCAGAATCGGGGAGACACCACAGGGAAACAGGAAGAGGCATCTAGCCGTAGGGGGTGTGAAAGGCATGGTATTTCAGTGAGCAAGCCCTTATCTCAGCCCTATGAAGAGCTTTAAAGCACTGAATTGTTTTCAGTAAACATTACACAGATGCCTGCTCCCAGGCCGAAGGGGAAGTGGGTTTCTGCTCAAGGTCTGGTGTCCCCACAGTGACAGATCTCACTCTACACTTGCATTGGGTCCTTGTGTGCCTGCTCTGTGCTAAGGCTAGCCCCAGCCCAGGGATAGGCTTCTGGGGTTGGACCACCAGGGGGTTTAGCCTCTGTGCAGATGGTTCACAGAGGGCTGGGGTAGGAGGCCAGGGCCACTATGAAGCTGGCTTGATATCTAAGAAATTGATGCTGTGTTTTTCAGGGCTGGGGCTCACAGATGGCCCCACTGCCGGGGGCAGAACTGGTCCAGACACCGCTGCAGCTTTACCGTTACTTGCTACGTTGTTGCCGGCAGCTGCCAACCAAGGGCATCCAGGAGCACTACAAGCATGCTGTCAGGCAGGTGGGAGCAGTCTGGTGGAGGTGTCTGCTGGGGGCCTGAGGCACAGGTGCCAGGGCGTGGGCCCAGAAGTTTCATTAGAAGCACTACAGTAGTGGACAGCTGGCCTCTGGCTTCCTCTGTGGCACGGTGGCTGCATCAGCTGGCGTCTCAACGCTGTGCTGGGGCCGGAAAGACACAGCTCAGAGGACCTCAGAATAGACTAGGTAGAGGCGGGTGAGACAATGCAGTTGATAAAATTCTTTCCGTGCTAACACAAGGACCAGAATTCAAAACCCAGAGAAGACTGGGGTGGGAGTGGGCACTTGCAATTCCAGCGCTGGGGAGGAGAAACAGGAAGGAGGATTGTGCGCCCCGGGTCCCAGTAAGAGGACCTGTCTTAAAGATGAATGAATGAATGAATGAATGAATGAATGAAAGCAAAACGAGCTCTGTGGACCACCAGGAAAGGCAAGCAGCTCCAGATTCACAGCAACTGAAAATGAAAGGCACGCTGCCAGATCCCAGGCTAGAGAAACATGCAGCAGATGGGAATTGGAATACTGGCTGTGGATTAGGTAATGGTTCTATTGATGCTAAGTTTTCTGAGTTCTGATTGCTGTAGTTCTAGCAGAGGGTCTCTTTGTTAGGAACACACAGGGAGGTTGTTAGGAGATAAGGGTACAGTTCCTGTAACTTACTTTAGATACTTCTATATAAAAAAGGCTGATAAAGCCAGTATGGGAAAATGTTCACTGGGAGGTTTGGTTGGGAGTTCTTTGCTCTTTACACTGTCTTTCTATAAGATATCACTTCCGGGGCTTGGGAGATGGCTGAAAGGTTAAGAGCACTGGCAGCTCTTCCAGAGGACTCAGGTTCTAGTCTTTGCACCCATGCAGCAGCTCCAGGGATCCACTGCCCTCATGTGGCATCTGTAGGTACTGCATGCACATGGTGCATTGACATACAAGGCAAAACACCATACCACAAAAAATAAAAAATTTGGAAATCACTTCCAATTAAAAAAGCTAAAAGCTAACTCCATACAGATATGGAAAAGAAAACAACTGTGATGTGGTGGTGGCACATGTCTTTAATCTCAGCACTCTAGAGACAGAAGCAGATCTATCTCTGAGTTCAAGGCCAGCCTGATCGACATAGTGAGTTCTAGGCTAGCCAGGACTACATAGTGAGCCCCTGTTTCAAAAAGAAAAAGAGAAACGGTGGTAGCAATAGAAGGGTGTGAGAAAAGAGAAGGGAGTCATTAACTTTGGGGACTGCACGGAAGACTTCCTGACACAAAGTGGGCTTCTGGTCTGAGTAGTGAATGTGGGGTTGGGAACACAGGTAAGGGAGGGACTAGTCCCTTCTTCTGGAAGAACCCTGAGGTTCACGTCAATGAACCCAAATCTTAGGTCACTGGTCACAAGCCTGGCTGAATTTCCCCCAGGATAACCTTCCCCTATGCCTTCCTCCCTTCCCCGTTGCTTCCCCAGCACCAGGACCTGGTGTGTGAGTGTGTGTGTGTGTCTGTGTGTGTGTGAGTGTGTGAGTGTGTGTGAGTGTCTGTGTGTGTGTGTGTGTGTGTGTGTGTGTGTGTGTGTGTGTGTGTGTGTGTGACGGCGGCCGGGGAAGACCAGTCCCTCCCCTGCACACTGATCCAAGCAGATTCCTTTGCTGAGCAAATCAGACACAGAGATTGGCGGTTCCCCTTGGCCCTGATCAGCAGCTGGATAGCCTGCAGGCCCAGAGGCTGGCCTCCTTTTTCATCCTCCCTGCTGGCTGCAAGGCCAATTTTGCTGACATAGACTAGGACACTGCTATCTAAGAGCAACAGGGTCATCTCCAAGTAGACAGAACCAGCACACCTCAGCAGGGCTAAGAGGTGACCAGAGTCCCACAGCCTCCTGGGACTATGCGCCTAAGCTACTAACCTTGTGAATTTCGTTGGACCATGTTCTTTTATGCTGAAACTTACAGGGTTTCCGGGTTCACTCAGATGAAGACAACCCCGAGAGAATCCTGCAGATAATTAAAAGAGCCATTGAAGATGCCGACTGGATCATGAACAAGGTAAGTGCTTGCTTGGCTCCAGGGAGGCTGTAGCCTCCTAGGCCACTAGGGGACACCTGTGCATCCCAGTTGAAAACAGGCTGACACAGTCACAGGAACAGCTGCGTTTCCCTGGAAGGACAGCTTTACTCTCTGTCATGGCATAGCTGTATCTGGCTTTGGGAGAAGCTGTCTTAGTTTGTTCTCTATTTCTGTGATAAAACACTGACTAAAGCCACTCGGGGCAGGAAAGGGGTTGTTTGGCTTCCAGGCTATAGTCCATCACCAAGGGAAGCCAAGGCAGGAACGGAAGCAGACAGCACAGGGGACAGCCACTAGCTGGCTTGCTTCTGAGGGCTTTCTCAGCTACCTATTTTTACACCCTGGGACCACCTGCCCAGTGCTGTAACTGCCCAAACAGGTTGGGTTATCCCACATTAACCATTTATCAAGAAAATGCCCCACAGGCACAGACACAGGCCAATCTGGTGGAAGCAATTCCTAAATTGAGGTTGCCTTGTCCAGGGTGACTCTAGTTTGTGTGAAGTTGACGAAAACTAGGTGCCCTTCTAGAACCTCTGTCTAGACTCTGGGTGGGGAAAAGCAGTCAGAAATGTACGGAACTGGAGTGTAGCCACAGGTTCTTGTCCTCCTACCTCAGATGCTCCAGACCTGGGTTGTTTTTTCTAAGACTCAGATTTTGACAGGGCATTTAGCTCAGGGGTAGATTGTTGCCCAGTGCACAAGCCGCTCGGACAAATCCCTGACAGAAGAAAACCAACAGCCAAAACAAAACCAGAAGAAGCAAAACCTCAGCGATTGGCTTTGAGGCCTCCTTTGCTGGGGACTTTTCTCCCACAAACAGGATTCAGTTTAAGCACAAGCCTGGTGAATGCCATGCTCAGTCCCGACACCTCCAGCCCCTTCCACTTTAAGCCCCTCAGCATTTCCACTAAAGAAGAAGGGTTAGGCACCAACTAGAGATGTGACAGTGGAGGGCCTCCCCATGGAGTCTCGCCACCTCCCAGAAACCCATGCGGGGAGGTGGGGACACCTGTGATGTGACCAGAGTCCTCCTCCACTGTCTTTCAGTATAAAAAACAAAACTGAGAATCCGGAGCTCACGGCGTGACTGTCCTGGAGACATTTGGAACTAAGAAGGCTCCTGCTTTTGGAGCTAAGCAGCAGCAGCAGTTCTGGAATATTCTTTGACCTTGTTGGCTGAAAGCAAGAAATCATAACTGACATTTGGTCAGGTGGCTTTTGTCACCGCAACCATGTTTCCAGCATCTTTTATGTCTGCTCTTCCAGCCCGGAATGATATGCAGTTTGAAGAGAACTTGGTGTTTTTTTGCTTCTTCTCTGTGTTTCTCATCTTTGTCTATCTATTTTTTTACTTTGTTCTGAAGGCTATTAATTTATTCTGGAGGTCCCATCACCATTCTCCGAGCCCCAGAGCAGATGCCCCCTCAGATGACCACCTGTACACAAGAAAGAGAAAGGGCTTGAGAACCAGGCAGCTGTGGATCTGAATCCCGGCCAGCATCCACAGCTTCAGTGCTGTGCCTGGCTGAGCCTGGGTGAGCCTGGGTGATCCTGGTGAGCCTGGTGAGCCTGGGTGAGCCTGGGTGAGCCTGGTGAGCTGGGTGAGCCTGGCTGAGCTTGGGTGAGCCTGGGTGAGCCTGGGTGAGCCTGGCTAAGCCTGGTGAGCCTGGATGAGCCTGGGTGAGCCTGGTGAGCCTGGCTGAGCCTGGGTGAGCCTGGTGAGCCTGGTGAGCCTGGGTGAGCCTGGTGAGCCTGGGTGAGCCTGGTGAGCCTGGGTGAGCCTGGTGAGCCTGGGTGAGCCTAGGTGAGCCTGGTGAGCTGGGTGAGCCTGGCTGAGCCTGGGTGAGCCTGGGTGAGCCTGGGTGAGCCTGGTGAGCCTGGGTGAGCCTGGTGAGCCTCGGTGAGCCTGGTGAGCCTGGGTGAGCCTGGTGAGCCTGGCTGAGCTTGGGTGAGCCTGGGTGAGCCTGGCTAAGCCTGGTGAGCTGGGTGAGCCTAGGTGAGCCTGGTGAGCTGGGTGAGCCTGGCTGAGCTTGGGTGAGCCTGGGTGAGCCTGGCTAAGCCTGGTGAGCCTGGGTGAGCCTGGGTGAGCCTGGTGAGCCTGGGTGAGGTGCCCATTTTGTGCTGCACACCAGCTTCATGCACAGAGACCTTTTGAGGAAGCCACTGCTCTGCCCTCCCCAGCTCCAGCTTTGTCTCCTGTATACCACATCCTCTCTCAGTGACTTGTCTGTGAGTTTGTCTTCTGCCATCTCAGAGCCCCACCAGCCCCAACTGTGCTGTGTCGTGTCCTCAGTCCTCTGAGGTGCTGCTCCTCCTCCTGACACTGCGCCTCCCAACAGGCTCCCGACAGAAGTCCTGGCCCTTGAGGTGGTGAAACGTATACCACACGAGAGACTGGGAAGGAAGCGCAAGCAGCCAGAGCAGACACCATCAGGTCCGGGCTTCCGTGACTCCACAGAGTATCCTCACTGGCCCTCCTGGGCTTTGAGCCTTCAGAGGCGGGTGAGAGGGAAGGACATGAGGGAGCAGGTCCAGGGAGAAGTGGCCCACGTTAGTGAAGTAGCTGGAAGATGGAGAAGCAACACAGGGTGTTAAATATTTCTGGGGCACCGGCAAGCAGCGTGAGCTAGTGCCTGCGCGTGTCCTCGCAGTTACGTGAGCTAGTGCCTGCGTGTGTCCTCCCAGTTACGTGAGCTAGTGCCTGCGTGTGTCCTCCCAGTTACGTGAGTTGGAGTGACCTCTGTCTGTGAAGAAGTGGTTGACAGTACTGAAGCATGTGTGTCACATCTTTCTTCCCCCTCTTTTTGTTTATTTTAGACAGGATCTCACTGTGTAGCCCTCGAAGGCCTTGAACTTTTGAAATTTCAGCAATCTTCCTGGCTCTGCCTTCCAAGAACTTAGATTATAAGTGTGCCACAACACCCAACTATTATTATTATTAACTTTTTGTATTTATTTATTTGTATGTATGTATATGTGCACAGCCATGCTCATGTATGTACATATGGGAGCATTCATGTGGAGATACGTATGGATGTCAGAAGACAATTTACAGGAGTCCGTTCATTTCTGCTATGTGGGTCCTGGAGAATGAACTCATGTCATTAGAGTTGGTGGCAAATGCCTTTATTTGCTGAGTCAACTTGATGGCTCTTCTTTTTTAAAAAAAGATGATCTGGCCGGGCGTTGGTGGCGCACGCCTTTAATCCCAGCACTCGGGAGGCAGAGGCAGGTGGATCTCTGTGAGTTCGAGACCAGCCTGGTCTACAAAGTGAGTTCCAGGACAGCCTCCAAAGCCACAGAGAAACCCTGTCTCGAAAAACCAAAAAAAAAAAAAAAAAAAAAAAGAAAGATGATCTGTGTGTGTGTGTGTGTCTGTGCCTGCATAAGTTCATGTGTGCCATGTGTATGCAGGTGCCCTCGAAGGCCAGAGGGTGTTGGCTCCTGGAATTACAGGCATTGTGAGCTGCCTGCCTGATGTGGGCACTGGGAACCAAACCTGGGTCTCGTGCAGGAGCAGTTGGCATCTTTGTGCTGAGCCATCTCTCTAGCCCCGCTATTTCTTCTCGACTGCTGTTCTCTGGATATGGATTGTTCCCTTGCTACATTCTATCAAACAATACTAAGGATTGGGTAAGTCAGACTTCCATTGGCCAGGAGGGATTGGTCAGTCCCAGAGATGACTAGGTGGTCCCCCTGCTGGACAACAATGGCCAAGGCCAGGTTTGCTCACTTAGATGAGGGCAAGGCAAAGGGGTAAGAGCAAAGCTGAGTCACCTCTGTCCCCACTGCTGTTGTCCAGTCCATCTGAGCCCAAGGACTAATCATCATGATTGGGTGATCATGGGGGCAGGGTGGCCATGTGTGCCACCGTGTCTGACCTTAAATAGGGTTTTTTGTTTGTTTGTTTGTTTGAGGCAGAGTTTCTCTGTGTATTCCTGGCTGTCCTGGAACTCACTCTGTAGACCAGGCAGGCCTTGAACTCACAGAGATCTGCCTGTCTCTGCCTCCCAAGTGCTGGGATTAAAGGTGTGTGCCACCACTGCCTGGCTAACTTTATAGCATGCTTATACTGGTGTGTACCAGTGCCCTAGTTTTATTATAAATGACTAGTACAGGTACAGTGTGTCCCCAGAGCAGTCTCCTATATCATGTTGGTTATCAACGTGACTTAGACAATCTCACATTTTGGAGGAACTCAGCAAGAGATGTAGCCCTAGGAAGGCTACTAGGGTAGATCCTGGACAGAGGGACTCTGTAGGATGCTGAGTATTAAGGAGCAAGGGCTACAAAAGATGAAGATGAGTGTTTAGACTTTTCCTCAGCAGAGGGAAATTGGCGTATACTTCTGAGGAGGCGTGCTGGGTGTGTTGACTAAGTCAGGAGGATCTGGGGTTACTATAGCAAATTTATGTGACTGTCCATGGCTTTGACTATAAGCTTCACAATTTTTAATTTTTTTTGTAAGCTGTCCCGAAGCTCACTCTGTAGACCAGGCTGGCCTCGAACTCACAGAGATCCACCTGACTCTGCCTCCCGAGTGCTGGGATTAAAGGCATGTGCTATCAACGCCCAGTTCACAATTTTTTTTTTTTTTTGGTTTTTCGAGGCAGAGTTTCTCTGTATTGTTTTGGAGCCTGTCCTGGAACTCGCTCGGTAGACCAGGCTGGTCTCAGCCATCTCTCAAGCCCTGTTTATTTTTATTGCGTGTTTGTGTTTATGTGCAAAGTGCTCAGGTCGTCAGGCTTGGTGGCCTTAACCCACTCAGCCACTTCACTGCCCCAGCTTTCCTGTCATCGTCTTGACTGACTTAGGGTCTATGCCGTTGATGTCCCTTGAAGTGAGTTATTGCCACCTATTTAGGGATTTATACTCCCAGGGGTGTAGTAAGATTAGTTCTTAATGCTTTATTGGGGGAAATTTTAGCCATCAACATTTCGCTTTCCCCCCAGATAGCAGTGTGTGTGTGAGCACTAGGAACCAGCCTCAGAGCCTGGGAGTGTTGATTGTCACCCTTCTAACTGTAGGACTCAAATAAATAAGGGCAGTGAAGCTCACTTTGGGGACAGAGATGTAAGGGGGGCGGTAATGGTCTCTGACATAGTAGCAACTAAGTACTTACTATATCTCTGGACTTTCCAATGCCTTTTTAAAAAAATATTTTATTTATTTATTATGTATACAGCCTTCTGCCTGCATGCAGAAGGCACCAGATCTCATTCAAGGTGGTTGTGAGCCACCATGTGGTTGCTGGGAATTGAACTCAGGACCTCTGGAAGAACAGTCAGTGCTCTTAATCTCTGAGCCATCTCTTTAGCCCTCCAATGCCTTTTAAAATAAAACTGCTGGTCCCAGTAAACCATCTAGCCTCGCATAATGAAAATGGACTTAAGTCTGGTCATCTGGAGTGGATTTGCTCAGTGATTTCTACACATTGGTATCCACAGGGGTCTGCAGAGGTTGGGAACACTGCTTCTGGATTTCCAGTTTGACACATTTACATTGTAATGTTGGGAACAGCCAATAGGAGAGTTGGCACTTTGTCAGTCTTTCTGTAAGAAGCCAGTGCTTTGCAGCCTTTGACTTCTAAATTGTCGGGACTTGGTCTCTCAGTTTCCATGTGCTGTCCCAAGGTTACCCTGAAAATTCAATAGAGAAAGAGGATGCAGACAGATAAAAGACCCTGAGTAAGTTCAGCTTGGTGAGCCAATGAATTTATGTAGGTTTCTTATAGGAGCATCACCAGAGAGTCTCGGGGTGTCCCATGATGTGATGTTCCTTTATATCTCAGCCAAAGAATGGAGTAAGACACACGTACTGGGGGGCTGGGGAGATGGGTCAGAGGTTAAGAGCACTGGCTGCTCTTCCAGAGGTCCTGAGTTCCATTCCCAGCAACCATATGATGGCTCACAGCCATCTATAATGAGATCTGGTGCCCTCTTCTGGCCTGCAGGCATATATGCAGACAGAACACTGTAATAAATAAATAAATAATTACAGAAAAAAGACATGGGTACTGGGGAGTTGGGCTCCTCTTGCTGGTTCTTGGTCTTGTTGATTTATTTTCTTGTTGGAAAGAAGCTTGAGGCAACAATGATGGGGTGAAGTGTAACTCCTGGCAGATACCTAGAGCACAGAAATGCAGAAGAAAGCCATAACTTCCGAGTTAGTGGCATCAGTGGAGGTCTGCAAGATGCTGTGACTTTGGAAGGAAGACTCAGGGAAGAGTGGGCAAGCACCCTCATGCAGCTGTCTAACAGGAACAGGGCAGGTGCATCATCACTAAGAGGCCCCACTCCAGCAGTTGTGAGTGGAATCTTTCCCATTCCTTCCATGGCGGAATATTGATAAGTCCCACCTTGTGATGGTCTTGTGCAGTGGTTCTCAGCCTTCTTAAAGCTGCAACCCCTTAAAACAGTTCCTCATGTTGTGGTGACTCCCAACCATAAAATCATTTCATCGCTACTGTTATGAATCATAATGTAAATTTCTGATATTCAGGATATCTGATATGTGATCCTTGTGGGGTTGTGACCCACAGGTTGAGAACCATCGGTCTGGTGGGCTCATCACCAATACTTTGTTTCAGAATGATGATGCATGTGTTCAACGTAGAAGAAACATCATCACTACAGTAGCAAAACAGTTGCAGCCCCTGCTCTTGAACCGTGTGTGTCCTTTGCCCCTCCCCATCCCCCACCCCCCCATTGGGGGCATTGAGTGTAATTGTTTGGCAAAATGAGCCATTGTCTCCGGATAGATCCCAGTTTGGGGACTAAAACTTAACCTAGTCTTTTGTGTACGTGGAGTGTGAAGAGCTATTGTGAAACTGAGGCATGGCTGAACCTTAACTTGCTTATTTGTTACAGAAATTTTTCAGGGAAAGCACTGAACTCTTGTAGACCCAACCAGCTGGTCTTAGTCACCCTTCCCCAATAAGCCAACTAAAGAGGCAAATTATAGTGAAGGCAGAGGAAGGTTCATGTTTGGAAGGGGAACAAATAAAGGGGCCTAGGTATCAACAGCCGAAGAGACACATCTCCATGTTGCACAGACACCTGCCTGAGAGGTTCAAAGACCTCCACCCAGGCAAAGCTCATGGCTTTGACAGAGAAGTGAGTGTCAGGGTGAGCCAATGTGAAATGAAACTGAATTTTTTTTTTTTTTTTTGGTTTTTTGAGACAGGGTTTCTCTGTAGCTTTGGAGGCTGTCCTGGAACTAGCTCTTGTAGACCAGGCTGGCCTCGAACTCACAGAGATCCGCCTGCCTCTGCCTCCCGAGTGCTGGGACTAAAGGCGTGCGCCACCACCGCCCGGCTGAAACTGAATTTTTTAAAAGCGGGAGATAAGGTGCTAGGAGAGAGGGAGAGGGAAGGAACTCAATAGGAGGTGTGCAGCTCCTCCAGGAGAGCTCTCCACAGAGGGGATAGACAGGGTTTTAGTGGCTCTGAAGTTACATCTTCACAACTCTTAAGAACCTCCTCTCTTTTAGCTTCTGAAAGAATGTAGGTTACAACATGGCTACAATTTAACGAATTTCAGCTGGGCATGGTGCACACCTAATCCCAACACTCAGGAGACAGGCAGATCTACATAGTTCTAGGACAGCAGGTGCAACAAAGCGAAAAGAGAGAAATAAAAAGAGAACGAATTTCCTTTCTGTAAACAAATTGTGAGGTAAATGTGAGGATATTGTCCAGGTTCAGGGAAAAGAGGGCTTGCCAGAAGGCTTGCAGAAGTACTACCTTTTACCGGCCTTGACAAGATGTCATCAGGAAAATTCAGGTTGTCTCTGTGAGCAATTTTGGTTTTACCAGTGACAGCTGAAAATTTTCAACTCTATTAGCAGGACAGGCAAGCCAGACTTTCCTTATGCTTGCCTTACCATGGCCTTATAGTTTTTCCTGTCTTCTTGTCCTGCCTTACAATGACCTTACGTCCATCTTCAGGATGCTGACATGAGGTTTACTGGGCAGTAGATAAGAGGTGTGCATAGCTAAGCAGTCCCAGTCAAGGTGTGGTCCAGCCCTTCATGGACTTAGCAAGGTGATCCAATGGGTTGTTGCTAATCTGTCAATCATCTGTTCATTATTGATCCCACAGCCCCTTCCTCAACTGGGGGCATGGTCTGTCCTAAAAAGTGTTCTTCCTGGAATTCAAGATGATTCGAGAGGAAAGGTTAAGGACAGAGGACAGTGACATTTCTACCTCCAAAGTCCAGATACCAAGTGAAGGCAGAGATACCAGGCTTTTGTTAATAAACTTGGGGTCATAGGCTGTATCCCAACAGCCAGGGTCAACCACCTGTCCTTCAGAAACCGATTAAAACAGCCAAATTCATAGCAAAGATCAGAAAAAGAATAGGGACTGGAGTGCCGTCTCAGTGGTTAAGAGTACTTGCTGCTCTTTCAGAGGACCTGACCGCCAACTGTAACAACAGTTCTAATGCCCTCTTCTGGTCTCTGTGAGCACCCAAGGACACACTCTTCTTTTCACCTGGTAACACAGCAAGGAAAAGTTCCATTTCCTCCCTACAGACCTCCTGAGTGTGGCCCAATCTGGAGTATTTGATGGCCTTGGGTGATCTCAGAAAGTAAAAGTGAGCTAGCTCAGTGTGGTGGTTCAGGAGGCTAAGGCAGGACGATCAAGGCATTCAAGGCTAGCCTGGGCTACACGAGACTCTGTCTTAAAAACAAACAGTGAGCCAACAGCAAAAAGAAACAACCAAATTAGGTAGTATAAGGCGTTGTAACGACTTGCTCATTCTTATTTTATGTATGTGAATGTTTGCCTGCATGTATGCCTGTGCTCCACTTGCATGCCTGGTGCCCACAGAAGCCAGAAGAGGACATCAGATCCACTGGAACTGGAGTTACAGACCTTTGTGAGCCACTATGTGGGTGCTTGGAACTGAACCCTGGTCCTCTGTAAGAGCAGCCCATGCTCTTAATCTCTGAGCCATCTCTCCAGCCCCAGCATAAGGTGTTTTAGAAGCAGAACTAGTGGATGGAGAGCTTTGGGTCACCGAGATTGGACTCTGGATCCTGAAGGGGGACTCACACTGGTAGGGCTCAGCTGTTCAAGGACAGCAAGGGATGGCGCAGTGAAGCCATCAAACCAGACCTCCCTGTGGGTAGAAAGAAAGGTTTGTTGGGGAGCAAACTGCCAAACCTGTGGGGGGGGGCAGGAGGTAGAGAACAAAATGGTGGCCAAAGCAAGCAGATTTTAAATGGCAATCAGCAAAACAAGAGGCTTTGAGTTTATCCAGGCGTGATTGACCTGGAACCAGATGCCCTTGCCTTGGCTGATCTTTGGAGTAGATTAAGGGACATTCCCGAAAGATTATTGGTTAAGGGAGGTTCCTGGTAAACAGAAACCTGGCTTTGGCTTTGGCTTGTGTTTTCCCAGCCAAAGTCATTTTAGGACATTGTCACTAGCGCTGCCATTTTTGGTGCCACCTTAGACCTAACAGCAATCAAGAATTCTTTTCCTCAAAAGCTGTCCAGGGGTTATGGAAGCCAGTGAGGAAAGGATTATGGGAAAGAGAAAGGAAAAAATAGAGAAATCACAGCAAGGGACTTTCACATGCCACCTCAGTCATTTGCCAGTGATTTTTAGCCCCAGATGGCCAGTCATAGGGAGGTCTGCTCTGTGCTGCCCCTCAGCTTAAACACAGTAGGACCATGGCACCTTTAGTCTTAGGACAACTGATACCAAGATTCAAACGGATCCAAAGTCCTGTGTCCTAACTCAAGCACAATGGGTCAGCATCTTGTGTTCTAACTTGAAAGGGAATTAAGAGAGACAGGAATTCTAGGGAAAAGTGGGGTGCATTCTTCCAACTCAGCCAGATCTAGAAACTGTACCAGGCTCCAGGGCCATAAGCAATGGTGTCAGCCGCTAGCCAGCTGACCACGCCCACTGGAGTTATCAGATGGTACCGATGCCAGAGAACGTGTCCAAGTGACCACAGAAATGAAAATGGAGGCTACTGCATGAAGTGCCAAACAAAGGCTTAATTAGAGATAGGGCTGAGGAAGAAGGAACAGCGTGGTGCTGGGGAAACCCAGGCTGCTGCTGACAGCAGGCATGGTCGGAGCAGGTCGGGGATTTGTTAGGAGGATGGTGTTTTGTGAACTTTCTTCCTCATGGTGGGACTTTCCTGTGTAAGACAAGTCAATGGCCAGCTTGTCCCTATAGTCATCATAGCATTGCCCTGTAGCTGGTCGGGTTTTCCCTGTGGGAAGATTAGGAGGAAATAAAGACAGATGTGTTCCATACAATGTTTACTAAGGGGGAGAGAAACTCAATGGTTAACTGGCTTGGTAGATTAAGGGTGTGAGAACTTCACCTCTTGTCTCTGCAAGGGGTTGCTATGTTATCACTGCTTAGAAAGTTTTGATGTAGCATCAAAGAAACTACCCGAAAGCTGAGGCAGGAGAATGCAATGATTTCAAGATCAACCTAGATTACAGTTTCTTCTTATAAAATAAGCTAATATGTAATAAGCTTATTTCTATTTTCAGAGATTTATTATTTGATGGTTTGCCCATTTGAGACAGGGTTTCTTTGTGTAGTCCTGGCTGTCCTGGAACTTGCTATGTAGACCAGGCTGGTCTGGAACTCACAGAGATCCACCTACCTCTGCCTCCCCAGTGCTGGGATTAAAAGTAGGTACCACCACAACCTGGCAAGATTTATTTTTTTATTTTAAATGTATGGGTATTTTGCTTGCATGCATATTAAGTGTGCCATGTTTGTGCAGTGCCTGCCAAGGCCAGAATACTGCACTGGATTCTCCCAGAACTAGAACTATGCACATGGTGGATGCTGGGAACTGAATCTGGGTCCTCTGCAAGAGAAACAAGTGCTCTTACCTGCTGAGTCATTTCTCCAGTCCCTATGTATTGCTTTTAAGTTACATTTTTATTATTATTATTATTAATGCATAATTTATTGTTGTTGTGTCTCTATAATCCCAGCTAGCACTTGGGAGGTAGAGGCAGGGAGATTGGAAGTTCAAGGTTATCCTCAATTACATAGTGAGTTTAAGGTTAGCCTGGGCTACATGACTGTAGCCTGTCACTGTTTACGGTTGGCTGTCTGGGGTCAGTGTGCTTCTAGGGTGACTATTCCTTGATCATCACTAACTAGAGAGAACAAACTCACTTTGGTGTCTCCCTAAAGCAAGGGGAAATATTTGAAAGGAGGACTGTTGAGGTGGCTCAGCCCATTGAGGCACTTGCTGCTAAGCCTAATGGTCTAATTTCAATCTCCAGATCCCACAGTGGAAGGAAAGAGCTGACTTCCAAAAGGCATCGTCTGGCTTCGGTGTGTGCACTGTGGCATGCTTCCATCACACACAAGACCCCAAATAAAAGCTATAAAAAAGGAAATGTGAGCGGAGAAAAGGAGGGGGTGTCCTCGAGTCACTTATGGGGTTACATGTCAAGGCACAGGAGGGAAGCTACCAAGAATTCTGTTTGCATGAAGAGCCCTGAAGTTTTCTGGGAGGCATGGAGACAAGTTGAAACAGATGGACAGCCCATGACTGAGACAGTGGGGAAGAAACAGGGCAAAAGCTGCCCCCTGGAAACGTGAAGCCTGGTCCCCAAAGGTTCCCATGGTTCATTTCTGGATTTAATAAAAACAAACCATTCAGATTTGATGGCTCAACACAGCGAGGTCTTATGACTGCTCACAGTCCTGCGGGTCAGGAGTCAGGGCTGGGGTGGGTGGGGAATACTGCCACTCGGTCTGCTGTGCTTAGGTGGTGGCTGGTCTGGGTGAGTGACAGGAAACAGAACCATGGCTTGTGAGGTTCGCCCATGCTTAGAGGTGTCATGAGAAATAAAGTGGTCTACACAGTGCTTTGCTTCAAGAAACACATGGTTTTGCTTCCCACCCATGAACTTTGATATTCGATGTAAAGTAGTAAAGAAAGAAGAAAGGCCTGTTATTTCCACCCTCCTTCCTGTCCTGGTCCTTTAACCACCCCTCCCTTTGACATTCTAGAGGGAGGCATTTGTGACACTCTCTTCTACCTGACAATGCTAACCCCAGGTGAATGGCAGAGTCAGACATTGCACTTTGACCCGGAAAGCCCAGTTTGAACTTGAACCTGATTTTCTCCCCTCCTCATCTGCTTACTTGTGTGTGTGTGTGTGTGTGTGTGTGTGTGTGTGTGTGTGTGTGTGTGTAAAGGAGGCCAGAGGAGGGCACTGGCATCCGGTGTCACTCTGCGTTATTCATTTGAGACAAGTTCTCTCCCTGAACTTACAGTTCCTATGCTTTCCACTAGTCTGACATTCACAGGACCACAGCTGACTTGTCGAGTAAGTGGGTGCTGGAGCCTGACTGCAGCCTTCATGTGTGCATAGCTTGCTTGCACACCTCTTACCTGCTGAACTGTTTCTTCCCCCCAGCACCCCCACCCCTTTATGATTGAAGGTCCTGCTATGTACCTTTCCCCTCCAGGAACTACCACATAGACCATGCTGCCCTTAAACTTGCAAGATCACCCTTTCTCTGCCTCCCGGCTGCTGGGATTACAGGAATGCACCCCTATGTGTGGCTGGAACCTGACTTTGGAAGGAAAAGACTGAAAAGGATCTAGTCCAATAGATGCTCACAGAAAGGTGGAGACCTTGAGCTTCAGCAAAAGAGTGCCTCCCGGGGCACACATAGCATTTCCTTACCTGTTCTTTTATAAACCCCTGGAAATATAGGCACCCCCTCCAAAAAAAAAAAAAGATGGACTTTTCTTTAGCCCAGACCCGAATAAACCAATTTGCCCTACCAATATCTGGCATATGTCTGTCTTTTTATTGTTTGTTTCGGGGGTAGATATAAATAGTAGAACTTAAGGCACCTTGGTCTCTTTGTGAGGCCTGCTCTTCAGAAGGCTCCCCACGTTTATTTAGCATCTGCCTGGCTTCTTCCGGGAGAGTGAGAGCTGGAATTTTTGTTTTCCTGTCCTTTTTAAGAAATATTAATTTTAAAAGTTTATATTTATTTATGTGTATGTGTGTGTGCCTGCATGGGTGTATGAGTATCACATATATGCAGGTGTCCACAGAGGCCAAAGAGGGCATCATATCTCCTGGAACTGGAGTTATCGGTGGTTGTGATCTACCACGTGGCTTCGCAGAACCAAACTTGGTTGTCTGGAGGAGCAGCCAGTGCTCTTACCAGCAAGCCGCCTTTCCACACCGTAATGTTCATTTTTACTTGTGTGTGTATGTGTGTAAGTGCATTACTGTATGTACACCAAGTGTGTGCAGATACCCACAGAAGCCAGAAGGGGGCACAAGATCCCTTGAAGCTGGTGTCATAGATGGTGTGAACTGCCTGTTGTGGGTGCTCTGAACTTGGGTTCTCTGGAAAGGCACTGATGCTTTTAACTGCTAACCTACCTCTTGGGCCCTTCTGTGTCCTCCTAGTGGACTAAGACTGGAGTGAAGTTTTCGTACCTCTTTCCATTGGTCAGAACAAGTCACAGCACTAGTGTAGCTGCAAGGAGGGAGAAAACAGGCTCTGCCTCTTGATGGAAGGAATGAAATGCACATATAATGAGGGGGTAGTGAAGGTCTCAGGCTGACCTAGAATCCTGAGATCTGGGATTGCAGTGACACACCACATCTGGGAGAGCTGAGATAGCAGTGTACACACATCTGGGAGAGTTGGGATTGCAGTATACACAACTGCATCTGGGAGAGCTGGAATAGTAGTATTCACCACCACATCTGGAGAGCTGAGATAGCAGTGTACACACCACATCTGGAGAGCTGGAATAGCAGTGTTCACCACCACATCTGGAGAGCTGGAATAGCAGTGTACACACCACATCTGGAGAGCTGGAATAACAGTGTACACACCACATCTGGGAGAGTTGGGATTGCAGTGTACATCACTGCATCTGTCTAAGAAAAGACCAGTGTCATCAATGGCAGGCACAGATACCCAGATCCATGCTGTCACTCACAGCAGTACCCAAGTTCTTTTCAGAGAACTCCATTCAAGTAAACCTAGACTTCTTAACAGAAAAGTATTTCAGGATAAGCCAGTATGGAGCAGAATTAGGGCTCATTAAGACACCTACCTTCCGGACAGGGTTTCACTGTGTAGCCCTGGCTGTCCTGGAATTTGCTCTGTAGACCAGGTTGGCCTTGAACTTAGAGATCTACCTGCCTCTGCCTCCCAAGTGCTGGCACTTATGGCTTAGGCCACTGTACCCAGCTTATTAAGACAACAGATTTTAGGTTAGGGGCAAACAGGCACCAGGGAAGAAAGTAGGGAAAACAGCTTACTGCTCCCCATGGCCTGCTCAGCCTGCTTTCTTGTACACCCCAGGACTGCTCTGCCAGGGGTGATACTGCCCACAGTGGGCTGGACCCTCCCACATCAGTCCTTAACCAAGAAAATACCCCCACAGACTTGCCTACAGGCTAAGAGGATGGAGGCATTTTCTCAACATTTCCTCTTCCCAGACAACCCTGGCCTATTTCAAGTTGATAAAAGCTACAGAGTCACTCATTGTTTTTACAGTGTCACAGACAGGGACATGGTAGGTTTTCAGGCTGTTATTTTCAGTTGCTAAGAAACCTAATAAACTCATAGGTGGTTCCTAAGAGCATGTGACAGGATTGAATTGGTTAAGGTGAAAGTCTAGTTCCAGAATGCACAACGGTAGCCTGGCTTCCCTGTAAACAAAGGGAAAGTTAATTACTCTTGTTTGTGCAATTCCAGAGAGAATGTCTGGGAAGGAATAGGGCCCTTCCCAGGTCCTATACAATCAGGGCTTATCCTGGTTCGTTGCTATTTTACGTAAAATACGTAGGTAGGAAAGGAGTAGATCTCCGTGCTAGCAGCATTCACAGCAATTGCTGGGTCTGTTCTTGCTTCTCAGCCAGCAAGAGGCTGTGAACTGAATTGTTGGGTGGGGTGGGGGGTGGAGACGGGGTGTTACACCTACATCAAGGATTCTAGAAGGTTCATTGACTGACTAGAACTTCTGGGGTTGTGGAGAGTTGGAATGTTTCAGATTCAGAGTCAAATTACCTTGGACTATCTTTAGTTCCCATAATAGCCTCTCTTTATCTCAGGATGGTACAGGCTTGGTTTCTCAGCACCTAAGAGGCAGAAGCTATAGGATCAAGAAGGTCAAGGAAATTCTCAACCTCAAAGTGACTTTGAGGCCCAGTTAAGCTATGTGATGAGAGCCTGTCTCAAAAAACAAAACAGAAGTAGCCAACAACAACAAAAGCCATTTATTGTTCACCTCTATTTCTGACCTAATATCCATTTTCACTATTAACTGAGTTTAACCAGTAGGATTACTATTTTGCTCTAGACATATTTTTCCACAAAAATTTTTGATTTGTGTTACTTTATTTGGAGACAGAGACAAGAGAATCTCTGTGAGTTGAAGGCCAGCCCGGTCTACATATTGACTTCTAAGCCAGTCAGGTCTACATAGTGAGACCCTGTCTCAAAAAATTAAAAGTTGGTCCCAGCACTAGGTATGAGTAGAGGCAGGGGAATTTCTGTGAGTTCAAGGCCGGCCTGGTCTACAGAGTGAGTTTCAGGACTCTTGTGTCTTAAAAAACAAACAAAAAAGTTAAGATGTATCAAATGAAAAGCTCTGGGAAGCCCCCTGGCTTACTCAGACTTCTGCCTACCTTACAGCAACTTTGATTCTCGACTCTTGCTAAGGGCACCTAAAGCTTTAGGTTAGCTCTTTTTCTCCAAACCATACAAAAGCAACCAGCCTCCAGGGGCAACAACACATGACGCTGTGTTTCTTTTCATGGTCAAAACTGAGTCCATTTTTGTTAGAGCTGAAGGAGACCTCCCTGGAGGTGCAGCTACTGGGTGAGCAATTCTAGAGAAGAAGGAAACTGTTAAAAACAAGAAACAAGCTACACAGTGATTTCCAGGCCAACCAAGGCTATCTAAAAATGAATATGATAAACATTAAAAGGATGAATGTGCAAAAATAGAAGACTATAAGATTGATTCAGCTGTGTCCACAAGACCTGTGAAGTCCTGGGACTGGAGAAATGGCTAAGTGGTTAAGAGCATTCTTGTAGAGAACCTGGGTTGGGTTCCCAGCACCCACATGGTGGCTCGCATCTATAATTCCAATTTCAGGGTACATGATGCCCTCTTATGGCTTATGTGGGCACTGCATGCAGGTAGTACACATACATGCTGACAAAAAACTCAGACACATAAAATCATAATAAATACAAAAATTTTAAAACCCGTGAAATCTTGATTTCTCATAAGTCTCATACCTTCTTTATTGCCCCTATCACAGTAAGACCTGGTACAATTTTGTTAGAAAGAAATTTAAAGTAATACTATATAGTCATTTTTTAAATAAAGTGATGATCAAATCACTTCTCCAAACTGGAATCTGCTGTAAAACCAAGAAAGCAGGTCAAACAAAATTATCTATTATGATTATCATCATCAGTATTATTGAGACAGAGTCTCATGTATTCCAGTCTCATGTCAACCTTTCTATGTAGTCAAGGATGACCTTCTTGCTGCCTTAGCTATATGAGATCCTAGGAACAAATGAGCCTTCCTGGTGTATGGGGACATGAAGCATGATGCTTAGCCAATGGGGGAACTATGAACTGATGTTCCCAGAAAAGAAAGCCACACCTATGATAAAGATTCTCCAATCAGGCTGACGATTAATTAGAATTGTGAGACTGGGTGTTAGAGAAACAGGGTAATTATCTGACCTCTCTTAATGGCCCTTAGTAACCATTCATTGCCCAGCTCTGTGTCTGCTCTGATGTTCTTATCACTATCAGGTAATGCATTCTTTTCTTTCCTCCTCCTCTTCCTCCTCCTCCTCCTCCTCCTTTTAAGGACATGACCACCTTTTCAGCCTTCCAATTTTAAAAATAATTTATTATTAATTTTTAAAAGCTTTTATTTATCTATTTATTAGTTATGTGTACAGTGTTCTGCCTACATGTATGCCTGCATGCCAGAGAGGGCACCAGATCTTATTATAGATGGTTGTGAACCACCATGTGGTTGCTGGGAATTGAATTCAGGACCTCTGGAAGAGCAGCCAGTGCTCTTAGCCTCTGAGCCATCTCTCCAACCCAATTTATTATTTTTATTTGCATTGGTGTTTTGCCTACATATATGTCTGTGTGAGGGTGCCAGATCTCCGAGTTACAGTTTTGGGTTCTGGGAACTAAACCTGGGTCCTCTGGAAGAGCAGACAATACTCTTAACTGCTGAGCCATCTCTCCAGCCCCATTGGAATGCATTCTTAGTATTAACTTCCACCAACCCCAAAGCTAGTAGTGTCATCAGATAGGATCATGAGTTGATACCTCTGCTGTAGTGTCACCTGTCTGCCTGATCTTTTTGTCTGTGTATTTTGAAAATGCCTTGTTTCGTGATTTTCTTTTGTTTTATAACTATAAAAATTTCCTAACACCATATCTATGTTGGGACATATTTGTGGTAACCTGTGTTCCTGGGCCATGACCTCTTATATCTTACTCAAGGATAAACTATCTTTCATTCTCTTTAAGATGAGAACCATGCTTTTTGTCTACTGGGGCTAGGCTAGTGAAATGAGGGGTGTGATATGCTGTTGGCAGTGAACCCCGGGGATGCTGGTGACCTGCTTTTAAGGGGAACAGCATCTAGTCATTAACACCTGTGGCTGTGGCCACCAGGTGGCAGCATGGAGGTGGCTTTGGCATCTGTGGCTGAAAAGGAGTTCTGAATTTTCCTAGGACAAGAAGAATGGCAGGAATTGGG